CTACCCTCGAACCAGGAGCTTCTAGTTGCGTGCTCTAAATGTTAAACCGCTATAAGTCCGTAACCTCAACTCTGGCCGTACTTCAGCTTATCCTACTACAGGGGCAATAAGGAGAATAAGAAAGACTTCAAGCCATATATATATATATTACTATTATGATTATTATATATATATATACATACATTTTTATTGTATTCACTTATTCTTCGGGCTTCTAAATGACCGAAAAACGGGCTTAGGGTTTGAGTTGCTGTCCAGTCCTCACCCTGCAAACCCTGAGGCCTAAATGACGAATCCAGTGCCCTACACCCTGGACCAAGACCAAAGCCTCAGCCCCAGACCCGAAATCCAAAACCTCTTTTAGTTTTTAGGGGGTTTAGGGTTTGGGTGGAGGGTTTCCCTTAAACCCAAGCTTTGGTCCATTCGTGGCCTTCCGGGCATCGCAGAACGCAAATCACTTGCGAACTCCTTCAAGTCCACCTTGGGGAGGCTTCCCCGGTACAGAGGGAGACAAGACGTTTGACTTTCAGGATCATATCAAGATGTGCGGTCTTCAACAGTTTAAGTTTTAGGTGCCCTGACTTATGGAGGTTTGGGAGCTTTGCAGCTCCTCAACGCCACCTCTGGTTAAGCCTCAGCCCAGGGCAGGCTGCATTAGATACCACCTCTTCGCCCCAAGTTATGAAAACTTACGATCTGATAAGTTGACGTCGACGATAATAGAGCCATTCGGCACCCTGTATGCCGTATGCCGTCTTCCCCGCCCCACCTGCAACCCGAATAGACGTAAGCCAACCCCTCAGCCAACCCAAAATCCTGCAAACCCAAACCCGAAACCCTAAACCCCCCGAAACTGTAAAAGCCAAAACTGCGCAACCCGAAACTTGCTCCGACAGTGTCACACCGAGTTGGCTCTAAGCCTAGGGGCCTACACCGCAGACAACCCAGCTTAGCGCTTCCTGCGCTGAGATACGACCGTGTTTGGGGTGTATACGTTTTGCTTATGGGATGGTTTAGGGCCCGAGGGTTTGAGGGAAGCAAAAATTCCTTCCATGCTTGGTTGGACAGCTGATGGAGATGCCGACTAAGAAATCCAAGTGAAGTTACAGGCAGATCAGGGCAGTTTACAGGGTTGAGGCCTCCACACAATGAATCATTCACCTCAGGATCGAAGATTGCACGGCTGAAACGGCGAACAAGGGCTAGATTGTATACACTGGACGCACAGAAGTTCGGGCCTATTGGGTCTACATGGTCTTTAAGCTTCATCCAATCAGGGCCCAGGTGGAGTCTGAACATGCGGGGCTCAACGAACGCCATCAGGTGGCATAGCGCAAAAAAATTCTTTCCCCGCGGGAGTTGCCCGAGGCATAAGCATCGAATGCCTGCAGGGCAAATGGGAGGTCCCGAAAAGAAGGGGTACCTAATTTTAGGATATTTTAGGGGCCTTACAACAAGGATCCTACCATTTAGGGTGCTATATTAGGGTCCCCTATTTTCGGAAACCCCCAAATGGTTTGGGGCTTGTTTACGACGTGATCTGACCCGCACCAACACCATACTCATCTCCACAGGCGGGTCTAGTCAGTCTAGTCTAGAGAGAAGCGGTCTGTTGTTCAAGAAGCCTGCTGGTAGGCCTCTAGTTGCAAATCTCTGCAGTCATTGGGAGTTCCATGAAGTACAGGCTATAAGCCGTACACCTAGTACACCTGGAGGTGAGGCCTCAGGGTCTTTGCTATGCACCCTTCGACCGTCACCTTCTGATTTCTCCAGCTTTGCCTCGAAGCATTTACGCCTCGGGGACCCAATGTCAGTACGGATTTAAGGCTCTTTAAAAGGGTGTAGGGTTTAGGGTTTAGGTTTTTTGGATACTGTATACAGTTTTAGAGCTCTCAGCTCACCCCAACCGTGCCAAACACATTGGGGGGGAGGCTGTATAGGGGGCAAGCTGGTTTCGGTGAAGGGGCTGTAACTGTATCAGGGAACCCTGAGGAGCTGTATGGATGACTGGGCCAACTTTACTATACTTATTCCCATATTTGAAGACTGTATCACCGAGACCCCAAAACCCAAACCCACGCGAAAGAAGCCCAACCCTCAACCTCACCCATTACTGCACAACTGTCCCGCTTCACGTCCTTATTCGTTCTAGGAATATGGCACTTGTAATTGTTGGTCCAGAGGTTAGGTTACGTATTGGAGGCAGCCCCATGACAGAACCCGAGACCCCCACTGCAATCCCTGAGCCGTGCAACCTGCATCCCTTTTGAAAGAGGATTGTGCCGGAAGCGGGAGCCGGGGTACATGAGTAAATGTGGGAAGTTCTGTGAGCTGGGGGCCTTTTCTAAGTCCTCAACAAAGTACGGCACCCCTATAAAAAGGACCCCAGAAAGGAGCCTAATTTAGAGAGCTACCCCTCTAGAGAACCCCTCCTCCCCTTCTGACAACCACTCCCCTGATCCCCTAGAAGCCCAACGCAGTAGGCTGCAGGGCGGGCCACAGCATGTTAACGATTTTTGTCCCAAGCCCCTTAAACGCGAAACCCTAAACCCCACAGCACAAAAGCCATACCGTCATACCCTAGGCCCGAAACCCCAAAGCCTTAACACCTAACCCTGAGCCCTAAACCCCTCACCCGTAAACTTCTGAGGCTCTGCCTAAACCCATACACCCCTATATAACAAGCCCTATACTTAGAGGTCCTAGAGCCTTAGAAGACTTAAGCCCCTAACCCCTAATAGTCTACAGCTCTGCAAGGGGTTGGCCTGCCGAATCAGCTCGGAGGAGGTCTCAATCGTCGGGGACGCGATCGTCGCAGACTTCTGGATGTCGACGTCTATCCCTGTGCTTCAAGAGCCTATAGGGTGAGTGAGATAGTGTAAACTATGGGGAATGGGGCGTCGGGGTCCACGGCATATCAACTTGTGTGATTTTGGGGCTTGGGCTTAGGATATGGGGTGGGTTCAGGACACTTTGTTTTTTTTCTCAGGGTTGTGAAGCTATGGGGTTTAGGTTTCTAGAAGCAAACTCACAGGTGAGGGCTTAGCCTTTCGGCGGAATAACTTCTTCCATATGGCTTGCTCTTGACTGGCCATGTAGCAAGGTGCTGTTGCCCGAAAAAATGGGTTGGCTATACAGCAGTTAGAACTACACTTTAAGTATGTGCAGCCTTCGCAGCACCTACTCTCGAAGCAGCCTCCAGGGTTTAGAATGCAGCAATCGCTGTTGGGTCGAGCTAGACTTTTTTAGACTTCGTCGGGGTTTAGGGTCTGTAGGCTATAATATACTATTATATATATATATACTATACTATAAATATACTATAATATACTATAATATAGGTTTGACTTTGGGGTTAATCGTCAGGGGCTCTAGAACCCAACAGACTCGGACGACTAGAGACAAGGCCTGCCAAAAACAGGCATACAATTACGGTTTAGGGTTTAAGGTTTCGGGTTTAAGGGGGCCTGTAGCAACTATCGGGACCTCATATGGCTAAAGGGCCTATTCACCCTTGCCGCAAAGCTGTCATGGAAGGCGAAAGAGAGAAGAACAACTACAAGCATCAACCGCAAGAGCAGCACCTTAATGCCAGGAGTCCTGATCCAGAGACAACCGCGCCTACACTCAAAAGAAACCCACACCCTAATTGGTCCCCGGGCAAGATTGGTCAAACCCAAATCTACCACCACACAGTGTCACCTTGCTCAGACCGTTAAGGATTTCATGCTCGTACCTAACCTCTGGGCCCTAAAGGTCGATCCTCAACCTTCCCGAAGCTGTGGCTCGCAATGAAACTCATGTCGATGTCAGTCTAGGTCTTACGTCTTCAAGAAGCATTTTTGGCCTAACCATTGAATAGATGTCAGACAGGAAAAATGCTGCTGACAATGGCGATGACGATATCGACAACGGGGCGCATTTACGCATCTATCACCAACAGAATGCACCAGAATTTAGAAGGCGAGCTCCTATGTAGCATGTAGGTCATCTTCGAATCCCAATTTGAAAACGTCGTGAGACTCTAATTAACGAACCTTAAACTTTGTTTTCGAAGCCTAGATCCCTACACACAAAACCCGCCAATCTCTGAATCCATACATCCGCCAAAAGCCAGAAGCATAAGCCCCAAAGCTTGTCTCGTGGCCATTTTCGGGCCAGTTGAACCATCAAGCGTAAGTGACTAACGTCTTTCCAGCATAAAACAATCCCTGTGTGCCATCCCCAATAGCATCCCCAAACCCTACGTCTCCAAACCATATTCTTTTGAGCAGGGACTGCAACGCACCTGAATCCCAAAACCCTATAAATCCGAAGTCCCGAAATTCACATAGACCCTTAACCCCTGAACCCTTAACCCTAAACCCTTCACTTCAGGCAGTCTGCCTTCGGACGTCTCCTCGGCCGTGGCCTCAGTGGCCCGCTCAATGGAGCCCAACCGCAAACCTGGCAAGGGCTCCAGGGTTTTTCAGGTTTAGGGTTCAGGGTTTAGGATCTCGGGGATAGGGTTTAGAAAGAACTGCTTTCGGCTCTTACTTACAACTAGGACAATAGGCAAGGGCATATGCTTGTAGGTCGCATGGGTGAAAACACATGGGTTTGGCCAAGCACTCGTCAAAAAGGTTACAATAGGATGTAGTATTTTTTTGGTTTTCGCGTTATAATAGGTTCATATAAGTCGTGATCAAGTGCCGAGAAATAGCGGGCAAGTCTCGTCGTGGTTCTCACCCTGAGTCATTTGGGCAAAAGGTTTAAGTTTAACCAGCTGAAGACGGCAGTCCACGAAGCAGCTGTTCTTGATACTTCGAGGACGGCGTCCAGTAGCAGATTTTCCGTGCTCCATCATGGTTTTTCTTGCCCATGGGATACCGCATGGTCTGATATGCGAGATCGATGATCCCACCTAAAACAGCAAACAGGAATCCATGCTGTAGTCCGTTGACAACTGTGCACCACAGATGACACCCTCAAACTTAAACCCTACAACCTCCTGAAGCAGCCTGAGCCAGCAGGACCAGGCTTCTCGTCACATGCGTCGCCATCGCTAGCGCTGGAGCCACTTCGCGACTTTACCGTTGCCAGATGCACCACATCGCCACCCTTGAAATCGAAGCGACCTTTTTGCGGCTCAGGGGTCGGGGCTGGTAGTGCTTTGGGGATTTGGCGCTTCGGGTTTAGCGATTTCGGGTTGACATAGGGTCTGGGTCCGGGCTTGGGGCTTTCGGTCTTCGGCGGTCACGCGGGTTTAAGGTTGTGAAGCTTTGGGGTTTCTACGTGTGGTGTGTCGCAGAGAGGAATAGTACCGTGGGTTACTGGTAGGAATGTTGTTCGCTAAACTTTAACGGCGAAAGGGTCATGGTCGTTGTCCTCGGGTTGAGCTGCACAGAAATTCTGATACTCGCACAATCTCGCACATATTGCTGCTGGCTGATACGTACGACGTGTGGTCCCCATGTCAGCTTAGCCTTCAATCCGAGATGCTCTTTCCGGACCCATGGAAGCTAGTATCCAGTGACAGGCCGTTCTTGTCCGCCATCGCCCAGAAGTCCTAGCAGGCTGTTTGGCTCCTCTGCTCGGACTCCGCAAGGCAATGTTTGAGAGTTCAGGACTTCGCAGGGCAAAGCAAACAACAAAACCTACCAGACCTACCACTAGCTGCTGGAACACCCGGCAAACCAAGACATTCAGCATCGAAAGCTGGAAGTTTAGAACATTCCCGGAACCTTTCGTCATGTCGTCTTTGCAGACCGACCTTCTGCTGCTGGGCTGTCTGCGGAAGGATGAAGTTGCCACTGCCTGCTGCAGACAGGCCTAGCACCTGGTCCTCTTATCTTCAACTGCAAAACGACCAGCCGAAGTCGGAGCTGTCTCAACTGCACCCTTGGCATGCCCTGAGCTAGCTGATTGCATGTCGAGCCATCTTGGCTGCATGTTTCCCAGAAGGACCTCCATCTGCTGCTTGGGACATCCGCGCAGCCTCCGAGCTGCATAAACTGCTTCAGTGGCACAGGAGCATCATTCACAAGTTGCAAATTAAGGTCCTCGCCCGTTCCTGCTGCACCCGTCTTTCGCCTCATCTATGCGCCTTTCCCTCCCAAAAGCCACAAGGCACGCCATCGGGAAAAGCTCCCAACTTGCGCACTCTCGACACTAAACCACAATGATCCTCTTGCCATGCAACTCTCGCCGCCCTAAACCCTAAAACCCTAAACTCAGTAAGTTTTGTCGTGCCTGCTCTGCCTGGAACTCCACATCTTAGTTGGCTGGACAGTCGGCAGAGCAAGAACTGCAAGACGTCTTCAAGCTGGGACATATAAGATCCGTAAACTCTAAACCCTATATACCGCCCCATTATCCCCAAATCCAGATATCGGGGTATAGGTTAAAGGCATATAATGAATGGCATCGGAGAGAAGGCTTGCTTGGCGTTAAGGTTTCAGCTTGCATGGTTTCTGCGCAGGTCGGGGTGTAGCATCTGACCTGGGGCCTGAAGAAGCTATAATGCATCTTCCAGCCGAGTACCATTCATTTCAGAGATTCTCTCTTCTTCAATAACCGGGCCCAAAAAACGTTAAATTTTTTTCAAGAAGACTAAAATAGACATACCGTATAAGGCCAAAACATGTACAGTTCTCCCATGGGCTACCCAAGGATTAGTTACCTGACTCTCTCCAGGTGGTGATTGAAAGGGCTGCCAAGGTGCCGGAAAACACAATCACGTTCTTGAGGTCATCACCTTCAACTTCTCAGACTTATCTGGCAGGCCAGCTGCTGCTACAGTGAAAGCAGAAGTATCTGCTGCAAGCCGCAAGCGGCTTACAGCAAAATGTCTTGATATCCGAACCCCATCGTAGGTCGAGACGCCGACTCGCCGACACAACAACTAGAAATGCCACGATCTTTGGAAGAGCTTCTCCGGACAGGTCTTAAACCACTGGATGTGAAACAGCATGCCATGCTTATCTAGTAGTGAAAGTTGGACTGATACAGCTAACAGATACCTCGAACAGTGCCGGGAACGAACCACTCGCCCCATCGTGCGATGCTTGCGGAAAGACACCCGCCGAACACTGTAGGGCCTGGTCATGTCCTCAGAAACTCTAAACCCCTAGACCTTAAAGCCCCACAGGCGAAAACCTCAAAGCGTACACATGTGCCCTGACAGGTAAAGGTATGTAGATACTAGTGCATAGTATTGCCGATGACAATCATCCTCTTCTTCATCCCGTAGTACTAGTCGCTGTCAGGCAACCTCGCCGAAGCCGATTCTAGAATGGAATCCCGACATACAAGAGCCGGAGCAGTAGCAAGAGCAAGATCCACGGAAAGTGACAGTAGAGACAATATAAAAAAAGAACCTCCTAATCAATACCACACTGCTCGTTGTTTTGCAGCAGGCCGTTGAATATTTGGGGCAAGAGATTATTAGGGGTTCTGAAGATTCTAACGGTTCCAGAAGGTCGCGGTCTGGGGCCCGATGTTTGATGACGACCTTCTCTCTGGTTCTTAGTAGGGACTGGGGGAATGGATCCCTATGATAGTCCCTTAAGGTCCCCTATAGTAGTCCCAACAACCCATGCCCCCATTCCCTGCTAAGAACCAGAGAGCCTTCTTCTCCGTCCATGCTATGCAAGCCCATCTCGACTGCGACGCTGTGGACCACCTGCCGCTCCTGTGCAGACGTCTGGGTGGGTTCCATACGGTAGGTAAATGTAGGGGCCTAAATAGTTACCAATACTATTGTGGGGGTTCCTGATTATAATTACAGTATAATGGGCCCCAAAACCCTATTCTAGTTATTAAGGCCCCTGTAGTAGTGCTCTTCGGGGGTCTATCGGTTTCAGAATCCGGATTGTGCTGTTTCGGCGCCCACACTCGAACAGCCGCGGCTGTCAGTTGGGATCGGCACAACAATCATCGCCATGGGCATCATGTAACTGCGTAAAAAAAAAGTGTCAACATGTGGGACCCTACTGGCAGCGAAAAACTATGCAGATCTACAAAGCCATGTGTTATGTAGAATTATTACATCATGTCTACAGTGCTCACTTCTCCTGGATGCACAAGTCTTTGAAGACGGCCCGATTGCCCACACCGACATCGGCGAGCTTCTCCCGGACGGTATTTGCAAACTCGTTCCTAAGACATCTGCTCGCACAGATCAGGGACCCAAGTCGAACTCAAAGTCTGAGGACCCGGCATGTTGAAGACCTGCCGACAGTACAAGGCGGAAAATGCTCAAGGGTGATTGAATCATTTCAAGACTTCGGGAACTGGATCCCGAACCTTACCCGGGCACAGTCGACTCAAGATTAGACCCGCGGCCGGAGGCTGAATCCTATTCTTTGCCGTTAACCCAGCAAAATCAGACAACTGGAGCGGCCTTCTGAGAATGTAGTAGCAGTAGTAGTAGTAGTAGTAGTAGCAGCAGCAGCAGTCGTAGTAGTGTAGTAGAAGCAGTAGTAGTAGTAGCAGTAGTAGTAGTAGTAGTAGTAGCAGTAGTAGCAGCAGCAGCAGCAGCAGCAGCAGCAGTAGCAGCAGGAGTAGTAGTAGAAGTAGTAGTAGTAGTAGTAGCAGCAGCAGCAGCAGCAGGAGTAGTAGTAGTAGTAGTAGTAGTAGTGGTGGTGGGTAGTGGTGGGTAGTGGTAGTGGTAGTGGTAGTGGTAGTGGTAGTGGTAGTGGTAGTTGCTGCTGTTGTTTTCCTGATTGTCGTCATGGTCGTAGTGAGTAGTGGGAGCAATACTCACAGTACAAAAAGTGGTACTTGCAGTCGTGCTGGTGGCAGTGGCTGTAGACAGAATACGAAGACCTACGACGACGACGACTACTACTGCTACTGCTGCTGCTGCTACTACTACTGCTACTGCTACTACTACTACTACTACTACTGCTGCTGCTGCTACTGCTACTACGACGACTACTACTACTACTACTGCTGCTACTACTAACGACGACGACGAAGAAAAAGACGACGACGACTCCCACTACTACCGCAGGCTATGCCACTGGCAGCATAGGACTACTAGTTGCGCAAGTGGAGTAGCTGCAGCGGTGATTGCAGCATACGTCTTGTGGTGACCACTTGTGAGGTCGCCATCGTGATGATGACAGAGGTGGTTGTGGTCGCAAACACGAAGACTGCAAATGATGGTGCCGATGATTTCGTGATGGTCATAATGACGGCGATGATGGCCGTATTGGTGGTGGTGATGGCATGATTGTGAAGATGTGACGATGCTGAAGCTGGTTCTGTCTCTTCTTTTTCGTTGTCTTACTGGTACTACTGCTGCTGCTTCCCTCGCTCTCTATCTCTCTCTCTCTCTCTCTCTCTTTCTCTCTCTCTCTCTCTCTCTCCCTCTCTCTCTCTCTCTCTCTATCTCTATACATATCCTGTCATACATACATACATACATACATACATACATACATACATACATACATACACACATATGCATATATAATTATATAATCTGTATGTGCATATATATATATATAGCAGTTATTTTTTTTGTTCATATAAACGCATATACGTATATACCCATGTGCATTGCATGGTGGTCGAAGAAGCGTGCTATTTACGGACAACGCTACCACTGTCGTTGCTGATGCCAGGGCAGTCACATGCAAACCAAGACCAACACACCATCACCATCAATGCCACTTCCACTACAAACACGTGTGCCGACACCAAAACGCTGGCTGGCTGGCTTCGTGAACTGGGATACATATGACACGCATTCTAATTCCCTACTGTAAGCCTCCAGGTAGCGAACAATGGGTTACAGGGGTACTTGCTGCTTGACCAGTAACCTATAGGGTTTACATAAGCGGAGTCATAAGGATTGTCCAAGCACCGGAAAACAGTTATAGAACCCTCATGAACTCCGGAAAGGAACCCTTGTAAGACCCTTCAAAGATCCCTTAAAAGAGGCTTGCAAAGCCTTGATAGTCTCCTCCCCCTTGTCGTTCTTCTGTCGAACGACGGTCATTCCCATCTTGGCGGCTTGTGCCTGGACCTGGCACGTAGAGGTTCGTAGTCGAACTGTCGGAAGAAGGTTTAAGTTTAAGGTTTCGACTTAGGTTTTAGATTTTGCTAGGGTTTAGGGTTTAAAGTTTAGAGCTTTGACTTCGGTGTGGGAGTCAAGACCTTCTGAAGTCTGCTCCTCGGAAGTTGGGATTTCAGGATGGCAGGTTCCATAACCGAGTGGTTGGAAGTTACTTCCTTGACCTTAAGTCAAGAGCATGCAGCCAAGCACCAAACCCCGACAGGACAAAAGGAGGCCTGAGCTTATAAGGGGGTTCATGGCCAGCAACTCTTGTCAGGGGATTTGGGAGTTGAGGCTTGGGCTTATGCACTTAGGGCCTTTGGTTCGGGGCTGCCGAGCTTGCTGGGTGCTGAGCATGCTCTGTCTGCGTCGAGTGTGCACATATCCCAGGCCTAGGTTTGTGTACTGCGATTGGCGTGCACGCGACTGTACATTCTTCATGTACACGTGCTTGTTTTGGTAATCTTATGTATGTGCCTTTGTTGTGTATGTAAACATCTGTGTGTATGTATAGATATATATATATATGTTTATTTATGTGGCTTATGTCGTGTATGGCCAAGGATGAGCCGAAGTATGTGTCTATTCCCTGGACAAACATCCTTTTGCACATGGCAGCCACTTTCTTGTTCCTGCTGGCGCTTGGACGCGGGGGGCCAAAGAAAACAAAAATGCGGCCCGCCGTAGATCCTCAACCCCCCCCCCCTCTGTAATTAGTGCCCTAAGCCCAGGGTCCGAAACGTCCACTCTCCAGCCTCTCATCACAAATGCCAGCACCGGGAGCTCTTGGATCACATGAGAGCCAAGCCGTGAACCGCCCTCAATCCCGACTGACAAGAAGACAATGTCAAGAACACCTACTACCTTGGTTCATGCCAACGATGCGAGCAGAAGAAACTTCTCCTTGACCCTAAACACCCTTAAACCCAAAACCCTAGACTCTACCAAACACCGGAGTCCCCGAATCGAGAATCGGGCGTATCTCATCTCGATCTTAGACAGATTGGCGTCCAAGGTCACGGCATCACCTGGCTTTGGTTCCTAAGCCCTAAACCCTTGGGTTCAGGGTTTAAGGCTCCGGCCCTCTCTCTCGCCGAGGTTCTTGGTGCTTCGTCGGTTGAGGGTGAAACTTATTGCATGTTTCCGGTTCAGGGTTTAAGTCAATTTTGGGCTTTTGGGCTACAGGGGGCGCTGGACAACAAGGCCTGTTGCAAAAAAGGTCAATTTCGGGTTCAGGTGAGTTTAGGGTAGGGATGTTCTTGCAGCCCACTGCCTCCCAGCATGGTTAGCCCACCACGTTTGCCCTCATATGGCTTGCCACATCTTGCGACGGTAGGTGCGGGGTTCACTCGCGGCTTAACTTACTTTTAGCAGACTTCATGGCGACAACAAGTCTGCTTCGCAAGAGATTTGGCAGCTGTTGCGCCCTAAACCTTCTTCAACTAAGCTGTCATACGATTCGTCGGTGCAGGCATCAGTCCTACGAAAACCGGCAGAGGAGCTGCATGCACATAGGTGCCCAATAGGCCAGATTCAAGACGTGCCGCTGATCCGCCAGAGCCCGAAACCCAGAAACCCATGGAGTAACCATCGGGCTCACGAGCAGAGCGGCCAATCTTGCACAGATCTCCCCTTCTAATCCTGGAATCCTAAACCTCAAACCCCATCAAAAAGTCCTATATATATATATATTTCAAAACCTTCTACCCTAACACCTATCACCCCATCTCCATCAGCCCCAGGGCCCTAAACTCAACGTCCTACCCCCTGCATCCCCCTGCACCCTCATGGAGCGCGTCCAACTGAGAGTTCACGCCCGACGCGAAGGATCCAGTGTGGTGAACAACCAGGCGCTCGCCGGCGCCCCATTCTGAGCTTGCTTTTTCCGAGGGTTTCAACAGCTTTTGCTGGGTTTCTGAGTGTTGCATGAGGTTGTAGGCTCCGTATGTCGTTAAGGTTATAGAAGTTTAGGATGCTTTAGGCTTTTCAGGGTAATGAACTTGAAGCCTTTGGATTTGAGCATATTTTGGGCTTGGAACTCTAGCCAGGAGCTTACGAGTACGAAGTTGCTAGTGTCTGAAAGGAGAATATGTCCAGCCTGTATAGTGCGTCTTTTCGGGGCGAAGCCCGGCCTCTTTTAATGATCCTCTTCCAGCCCTCTGGGTCTACTTCTACAATATGATGGAGCATATAAACCTCCTATGACGGCGGTAAAGCCAGAGACATGGTTGGCCTGACACAGAAACTTTGCTTCCGAAGTGTCTTTCGAAGACGGCCACGAGCGTCCGATCCAGTGCCAGCAGGTGTGCCACGGCCTTCTGCGCTTCCTCAGACCACAACAGTGCTTTGCACCAGGGACAGGGCGTAGTAGTATAACGGATAGTGTGAAGAAGGGAGACTCCGTTTGAAAGGCGAAACCCGCCACGGGATAACAAAGAAGGCAACTGTTTGCTTGAGGATGTGTCCGAGTCTTGCAGAAGCTACAAAGACGACGGAGAGAGTTCGGGCAGACTTTCAGGGGCAGCTCGGCCATCAAGTCGCAGACTTTAATCGGAAGCATCTCTTGCAAAAGAAACAGCCACCCCGCTTAGACGTCAGCAACATGGCGTCTCGCGATCAAGGATCCCAAGCAATCACTACAGGAAACGATTAACCTGGACTCTCCCCCCTAAGCCCAAAACTATTCGCGCAAGGCCGCAGTGAAGCCCATGTCGTTGACCACGAGGCGACTCCCTGATCTCATAGTTTCGAACTTGTCGATCATGATCTCGGGGGTGTAAGGTTAAGGGCTGCGGGGTGTAGTCAGGGAATAGCAGGGAAGACAACACGACGCAGCAAGCAATCAGTATGGAGTTGGGATATAGCGAGTCCAGAACATAGCGAGAGCTGACCTCATTTCAGAAAGTTACCACACGAAGCTAGACTCGCAAGCTGTACCATGGATTCAGCCATCACCCCTTCCAACCCAGTTCGGGCTGACGTGCCTGAAACGGGACCTCTAAACCCTGAACCAGCAGTGGTGTGAACCTAAGACAACTTCCATAAACCTTTAAATCCCCACCAAACTCCTACAGAGCGCCTATAAAAGCCCACGATCTCTCGAACGCAGTCTCGTGGACAAACAAGGCCCAATGGCTGTCATGGAATATGCTCAGCAGAATGCGTGCGAGGTTTAAGGTCTTGGTTTAAGATTTGGAGGGCTCTCTGGGTCTGGATCAGGGCTCCCTAAACCCCTAAGCCCTAAACAAGGTTCAGGTCTTGGTCAAATTGGGGGGAGTGCTGGTCTGTTGCGGTTTTCTTCAGGTGTCTGCTGAGCCGGGTTTATGCGAAGATGGACCGGCCGTGCCGGGGATATCTAGATTTAGAAATGGATAGATGAATAGATAGATAGATGGATAGATAGATACATAGATACATAGATACATACATAGATAGATAGATAGATAGATAGATATGTAGGTAGATAGATAGGTGCATAGATAATATCTAGATAGATAGATAGATAGATAGATACATAGATAGATAAATTAATAGGTAGATGAATAGATAGGTAGATACGTAGATAGATACATAGACAGGTAGATAAATAGATAGATAGACAGACAGGCAGGCAGGCAGGCAAACAGGCAGACAGATAGACAAATAGATAGATATTATCTATCTTGATCAAAAGTCTTGACCAAGGGAAAGAAATTTTGGCAGCGTAGCAACATGAGCAAGCTTCGGCAACCTGCGCGACACATTCGGCTCTGTTTATAGAGGATTGGCGACACTTCCGTCAAGCTGATTTGCACGAAAGTCCAGCTTGCTTTTGCAGATAAATAATCCAAATTCCAGAAACCGATCGACTCATAGCAACTGGCGTGCCAGCAACAGTAGCCGCAGCCCGGAACCCGGTTCTACCGGACGAGCGGCTCCCGAGAACGACTTCATGTTGTAGATCCTCATGCCTGCGAAGCACCAACCCGGGCTGGGATACAGGCAGCTTGCGGTGTTCATGGCTTTCATCCCAAGCTTGAGTTCGTACAGCAAAATCCAGTGGTCAGGGTGCCGAAAGACAGACCTACGGATCTACAACCCTCGAACCCGAAAGCCCTTCCCACGCTCAACCCTTGCAATCTCAATCCCTAAACCAACTGCCCCGGACCCTAGAACCTGCTAATCCTGAAAAGAACCAAGAGCTGAACGATAAATCCGACAAAACAAACCCGATTATATAGTCCAAACCCTATATAAACCCAACTAATGCCCTATACTCGAAACCCAAAACCCTCCTAACCCTCAACCCTCTAACCCTGAACCCTAAACTCGAAACCACATCTAAATCCTTACTCCAAGACACAACCAGGTTCCGGCATGATCCCTGATTCAAGGACCCCAGGGGCGCGCTCCAGGCTCTTGCTGTTACCTCAAAAGCCACCAAGCTGCTGCGGTTAGTCTGGGTTTAGGGTTTGGGTATTGTATGAGTGACGGCTACGTATCAGGGTTGTACTACAATAAGGATCTATCAGGATTCTTTCGGGTGTCGGTTTAGGGTTAAAAGTTGATGGCTTTAAGCTTTGGGCGCTCACATTTGGACGTGGGTTTAGGGTTGCCGCATGCTGTCCACATGGTTCGAACAGTGGCAACAAGCACAACAAACAGTCGATCGCCGGCTTAGGGTCGGAACTCCACAAAATGCGATCCCCATGAGCATTGATACGAGGAAACACTACGCGGGCCAGTTCACGCTGCTAGCATGGCAAAAGTTCGGCCCCTGCCCGTGGGTTCATGGGCTTCTGCCAGCGGGAGGTCCAGCGCGTGTCGGCGTAGGACACAAGTCTAAGCTTCAACCCTAATTAAACCCTAAACCCTGCAACGGAACGCCTTTATCCTAGAAGGGGCCTCAAACCTTGGGATCGTCCGGCTCAAGAGAAACAGGAGTCGAGGAGATTGGAAGGTCATGCGCGGCCCCTTGAGCCCGACGTCCTCACTAACCCCGGGAGCAACTCTTATAGCTAATGAGCAAGCCGCAACCCGCAAGCCGCAACCCTTCTGTGAACCCTTGCCTCAGTTGCAGGGATACAGCAAGCAAATAGTGGCAACACACTCGCAATGACCACCGGAGGTCATTTTGTTCATTACACGAAAGCAGAAGCCGTTCGAAGCTGCCATCGAACCATGACATGAAGAGTAGGAGAAGCTGAAACTTGAGGAGTGATGGTCATGATGGCTACCATGAAGGTGATGATGACGGTGATGACGATGATAATGATGATGATGATGATCTTGTTGGTGACGCTGATGATGCTGATGCTGCACCACCTTCACGACAACCAGCGATGTGATCACAAGCCCCATCCTTTTCACCACCAACATGACCAACATCCTGCCGATCATGGTGCTGTCTACTCTGTTGAAGCCTTGGGACGGGGTGGCATCCTTCCAATCCCCGCCGCAGAGAGTGTGTAGAGGCCATACACCTTGAAATGTCTTCAGCTGGAGGCAGCGGCTTGGGCATGCGCTTCATGATGCTAAAATCCCAGGGTGCGGTACGAGTACGCAAGGAATCCCTTCCGCGCTCCGTAGCGAAACTCCATATATTACTAAATGGCTCTTGAGTTGAACCCTAGAGGCTCTGAGCCCTAAAACCCGAATAAGCCCTATAAGGGATTTCAAAGGAACCATTTCAACTCAAACCATCCGACCTCGGCAATTTCCATCATGATCTGACGGCGCCGAAATGGATTCAGAAGGCTCTCCTGGGTGGGTGGAACGCTGGAGACTCGAAAACTCCCGAAAAGCAGACACTTTGTGAAGGGCCCTGGAGATAATGGGAGCTTCACTGCACTCAAGAGCCTCTTCCTCTAGCAATGCTATTAATCTAAGACAGCAACATACTACCAGTACAATACAGTCTCTAAAAGTTTGGGACGACGTCATTTGATGGGCTCCCTGTGCCACCAAGCCAACTCAACATCGAACTGCAAGCGCGATTCAGGGTTGGGGGTTACGGTTTAGGCGTATAGGTTTGTTTGCCACCTAGCTAGCAACTATGACCTTGGGGTTTAGGGCTCCTGCTCTGCACTTACTACAGCTTGGGAAGGCAGGTGTCATCGGCTCGCAAACTTCGAAACACTACACAAGCAACTCAATCCTTGCCCAAAGATCTGCAAGGTGTGGCTAGTGATGAGAGCTCTGACCAGCCCTGCACAATTGACCATGAGCAATTCTGACTAACAAGAATGTGCATGTCAGGCCAGGGAGCACGACAAACAACAAGAAGCAGCTGCGACCGTGGTAGCAACAGCAAGGGCAGGAGCAACTATACCGACATCAGTCCGTCGGGATTACAGCGGCAAGAAGAGAAGACCGTCAGTGCAAAGTTACGAACAACCAAGAATAAAACAGCTGCAATGATGATCACAACCCCTGCCAAACTGCCAGGTCCAAGGAACAGCTCCCCCTCTGAAGACGGCGTCGCTGAAATCTTTGCAGTCGCCATCTGCGATGGACGACAGCTCACGCTCAACCCATGCCCTGGCAGAGTTCAGGAGCAATTCTGGTGGGAGTTACAAGGTAGCTCTACACAACAGCGTAGTCTATCTGAGAACTAGAAAGCTGACGAAAGGAGAGTCAAAGGATCATGTGCAACCCTCAAGTCCTTGAAGCTTTCAACCCAAGGATGGTGCAGTCATGGTGCCGAGCCTGCTTTCTCGAAACCCGTAGCTTTTCATGATCAAAGACCAAATCTGCGCTCTACATCATCGCCCTCAACATTCTCTTCATGATGATGATGATGATGATGATGATCATCATCATCATCTGCACCATTTGCACCATCATCTGCATGATCGAGATTTCAGTCCTTGAGTCCCCCAGGGTCTTAGGGACACGCAGCACGCCGCGCCTGTAGTTTTCCTGGCGAGTTGGCGGTTTGGGCGGACTGTGCCAGAGCGTGGCGGGGGGTCTCAAAGACTCCAATGACACCAATATCTTGTACCAATATGTATCTAGTACTTACTATTCCCGGTACAGGTTGTGGAGAATTCTTAGCCAAGTGAGATGGAGGTCTCCGAACTAGGAGCTTCTAGGTTTAGCTGGTTAGGAGTGAGCGCGCCCACCTCGACAAGAAGACCGAGATGCTAGGGGATGCTACTACGTGCTCATCCCTATCGCACTTTACTACCTAAAGACACGTCGCACCCTCAAGCTCAGTACTAGCAGGCACCCTGACCCTTTATATGCATCAAGACTTGTTCAGTCGCCTGAGGATCACCACTAGATTCGTCACTAGATGCAAACTAAACCCTTAACTTAAACCCAAAGATGCATGCCCAGGAAATTTCCCAGGTTTAGGCTTTAGGGGTTTAGGGTTCCCCGGGTTCAGGGGTTTAGGGTTTAGGGGCTTAGGGTTTAGGGGCTTTAGGGTTTAGGGGTTTAGGGGTTTAGGGTTTCACCACTCACACTCGGACAAGCCTTGGCGAGGAGTTCCGGGTTTAGGGTTATAATAATGGGTTGCTGAGATGCACAATATACGACTAGTAACAAGCCGTTTGGGTCAACGAAAGTCTTAGGGGAGTTCCAGATAATATAGGGTCCTTCACGATTAGAATAATCGGGTTCGTGTCTAGAGTGCGC